AGGAGGTGAATGGATCAAGATTGATGGTTTTCCCATTAAGGGTCCAGGACCATTTAATGAAACCGTCACAGGTACTCTTTGCTCATTTGGTTCATGTCCTCACTGAAGCACAGTCTGCTGAGAGGGCTGTGCTTCTGTCCCACACATCTTCTCACCAACCTTCATGGAGTTCCCATTGCTGCACTAACACACACGCCACACAGGCTTGTCAGCTGTCCTGCCCCTGCTGTACCAGAATGCAGCCAGTGTTGCTCATCTCTCTCTGTTCTTTTGTGGTCTGGTGTGGGGCAATGTCTTGTCTACATTTCTTTATTTGTACTCTGGGATGCTGTTGCCCTGGTAACAGGCAAATATGGTGGTTGAGATGGCAGTACTGGCCTGATTAGGATATTTCCACCTCCTTCATCTGTGAATGGCATCAGTGAATGTGACCTACCAAACAGTGGTTTTTATTGGCAAATATGTCACATCAAGTCTTGTTCTCTTTTCTTAAAACCTTAGGTTACTTTGTGATGCACTAGATAACCTGCCTTCCATCTCGGCTCCATATTTGTATGTATGTTTTATCATTCGGATGTTGTTTGGTCATATTGTCTTAGTTATTGAGAGATGTGTTGACATTCTGTGTTTCTTGATTCTCTTTAATTCATGATGAAAAAATAATGCAAAATGAATGCAGTGATTGTGGTTGGGTAATTTTCAAAGAGCTATGCTTTATTTTTGTGTGTCATGTTTAAATGAAGGAATCTGGCATTATTGTTGAAAGGAAGGTGAGTATGCTGAAATGAATTACTTTGATCTGTTCTTAGATCAACTTTGATAGGTTTTCAAATCCCTTTTATATGGAAAGGAGGTGGAAGAACAAAACAATCAGAAGAATAAAGTGGTGTGTGAGAAAAGATGAGATATTCTTGTTCAAATATGTTGGACATAAGGTGACCGTTGGGCTTAGAATGGAAATGTAGGTGATTGGGATTGAAGGTTGGAAAAGAGAAGTAAGAGATTAGATGTGGACCTAGGAGTCTTGCTGTAGAAGAGGGAATGGAAGTTGAGCAAATGGATGAGGATTTGAAGGGAGAAGAGCAGGAGGCCATTGGAAGAGACTGGCAGTAATGTGGTGGAAAGATAGTATATCTAGTAAAAGTGCAAAATATGAAAGGACATTTGTTTTGGATATTGTGTAGCCCTGAAGACAGATACACGTGTAAATACTCACAGACATGCTTAAATGTTTATGGGTAGAGAGACCTTGAACCTTGTATTTGAGGGTTATTTTTGCATTTTATATTATTCTGCTACTCTGGCTTTAGAACAAGTAATTTTCTTGATTTTTCTTAAGTAATGTGTTTCTTATGCATTCTTTAATAGAAGCACGAATGAGCGTGTCACCTTTCTGACTAACAGTATGCCACAGAAATCCTGAGAATCAGAGACTGGACACAATCATGCTCCAACTTGCTATTGGTTTTATACACTGTCAATATAATACTAATTTAACTTCTCTCTTTAGAAGCCTTTGCAGGCCTTGGTTGGCCAATGAGTGCTCTGCTATGTGACATTATATTATATTTGCCACACATGATGACAAAAAAGATACCAGAAGAAATTGCTAGCTGAAAAAAGTTTGTAGCATATGGTATAATGCAGAACTTAAAAAACAAAAACAAAACAATGCATCTCCAGAGTGGATAGAGTTGCTTCAAGTACTCCAGAAGGAATTATGAATAGTTTATTAAAAATTATCAGTAAGTCATCAACATGCTTCTATACTTTTTGTTATGTGCCTTGGGACATAGGTTCTGCTGTTATTCTGAGAAATGGTTAAGTATATGATAATCCTGCCAAACCAAGAAGAATTCTGAATACCACATGTCTTCATCCCAAAGAAGAAGTTGGCCTTCAAAATGCAGACATTGACATCAGTACCTGGTGGAAGATCCACGGAACCACCTTAGCCTTCTGACAGAATTTTGACAATAACATTCTTCTGGTGTTTTATTTGTCCCGGGGAAAGTTCATTCTTTTAGAGCTGGAAACAGTGATTTCAGTTTAAATTCCAGAAAGCTCACTTTTGCTGCTTTAGCCCTATCTCAACCATATTGTCTTTACTTGAAAATAGGACTGCAATTCTTTAATTCATTCAACAAGCATTTATTGCCTGTGAATTGCCAGGTGCAGTGCTAGGTAAGTAAAGATAGACAAGGGCTCTTCTTGTCATTAGATGTTTATATTCTAGTGAAAAAGACAGACAATAGACAAATAAAGAAAAATAATGCATATTATTTCCAATGATTTGGAAAATAAGCAGGACACTGTGATATAGAATAAGCAGGGTGGGGTAACTGGGAGTTTGGGAGCCTGGGTGATGCTGGTGAGATAGATGGTGGCACCAAGGTGAGACCCTACATTGGGGTGAAGCCACAGGAGGAAGAGGAGGAGCATGCTAGGCAGCCTTGGCATTGGGCAAGACATTGCTGATTCTCAGATGGGTTTCTTGTCCAAATAGGAAACACTTAGCAATCCAAAATTGATGGGACTAAGCAAAAATCCAACCTTTGGGCAGATGTTTTGGCTTCCACTTGAGTAGCTCATCTCATATCTCTTAGGAAGTTTTCTTTGTATTTGATGTACAATCTCTCCTGTTGAGATGTGAGCCCATGTCCCCATGTTCTGTTTTCAGGGAAGAGGTGTCAGATCCCATTCACATATTTGAATACTGTTATTTAGCGTCTCTGAAGTCTTCTTTCTCCTCTTGTTTCACTCTTTTCTGGGACTATATCTGGGGTGATATGGTAGTGGACAGAGTCTGATGCTGGAAGGAGTTAGGACCTCTGCACCCATCCCAGCTGTGCTGCCCAGCAGCCTGGGGACCTGACTGGACCAGTTAGTCTACTTTATCCAAGTTCCCCATCTGGAAAATAAGTGCTAGATTCTGGTTAATTTGAGTTCTGTATCTGATTGTGTCTATTGTTCGTAGTAACTGTTGCACCCGACCATAATTATTTACATCTGAACATCTGAAGATCTGGCTCAGCCTCAGCTGAGGGATGAACAAAACCCCTGTCTTCTCTGCCCACCAGAGGCCTCAGCTGTAAAATAATGGCACCCTACAAGAAGTTTTCTAAGGTTTCCTTCAGCTTAGAATTTACAAGTATCTAAAGCTCAAAGTGAATGGATTTCACTTCTCATGAGTGATCCTGACCTTTGTGAGCAATTGGGAACTACTTGTCTCACTAAAAAATGGTTAGGTAGCTCTTTCTCCAGCTTATTTTGGCTGTTTCATGCTAACATTTTTTTTTTTTTTTAAAGAAATAGTGAAGAGGGAAACACATACTCACATAGACACTGAATTGTGTTTTCTGTGTGTTGGGTATGTGCCCAAACACACACAAGGTGCACAGCATAAAGACTGGTCTCCAATGATAAATGGATAAGTGCCTCTCCCAGTGGCCCCTTTTCTGGGTATCATATCCCCTTCTCTATTTGCACTGATAGGAGTTCTGCCAAAGGAGCCAGTGGAGACAGCACACTAGTTTACTTAAACTGATGTGTGTCAATGTCCCTGGCAAAAGGTGCCAGCTTAGTGACCCAATTGGCGAATCCATGCACAGCATTACTGCTGCAAGGGCTTCATCAAGTCACCGTAGGGACAAGATCAGGGGCTCCTGCATGCCTAACTTGGGCTTAAACTTACTTCATTCAAATGTTTTATGAACTTAATATCAATCAAAGACCGTCATCGTTTTTTAATAGATTTTTTTTTTTTTTATCTAGAGCAATTTAAGGTTTACAGAAAAATTGTGCAGGAAACAGACACTTCCCACATATCCCTCTCCTCCTTGCATAGTTTCTTCTGTTATTAACATCTTGCATTTGTGTGGCAATTTATTGTAATTGATGAACCAATATTGATACATTATTATTAACTAAAGTCCATAGTTGAGGGGTGACTCCTTGTGTTGTATAGTCCTATGGATTTTGACAAATGCACAAGGTCATGAACCTACCATTATCATATCATACAGAAGAGTTTCACTGCTGTACAAGTACCCTCCGCCCTTGGTCATCCTTCCTCTCTCCCCCTGAGCCCCTGGAACCACTGTTCTTTTCATTGTCTCTGTAGTTTTGTCTATTCCAGAATGTTGTGTAGATAGAATCATATAGTATGTAGTTTTTCTAGCCTGGCTTCTTCAACTTAGTCTTTTTCAACATGCCTTTTCAAGGATCGATAGCTCATTTCTTTTTACTGATGAGTAATCCTCCATTGTACGGATGTACTACAGTTTGCTTATCCATTCACATGTTGAAAACACATCTTGGTTGCTTCCAATTTCTGACAATTATGAATAAAATGGCAATAAACATTTGTGTGCAGGTTTTTGTGTGAATATACTCATGTGGATAAATACCTAGGAGAATGATTGCTGGGTTGGACGGTAAACCTCTGTTTACCTTTGTAAGAAACTGCCAGACTGTCTTCCAAAGTGGCTGAGCCATTGAGTATCCCCACCAGCAACGAATGAGAGTTCCTGTTGCTCTGTATCTTTGCCAGCATTTGGAGTTGTCTGTACTGTGGATTTTAGCCGTTCTAATAGGTGTGTAGTGGCGGTGGTGTTTTAATCTGTGATTCCCTGCTGGCACATGCTGTTAAGCCTCTTCTCCTGTGCTTGTTTGCCATCTATATATCCTCTTTGGTGAGTGTCTGTTTAGACCTTTTGCCTATTTTGTTATTGGGTTGTTTGTTTTCTTATCGTTCAGTTTTGAGAATTCTTTGTCTATCTTGGATACGAGTCTTTCATCGGACATGTGTTTTGCAAATATTTTCTCTCACTCTGGTTTGTGTACCGTAATTCACGCCCCTGCTACATTGAGAGGCCTCGGTGAAGAATGGCATTTCATGCATTTGTAAATTGGAATTCCTCCAAGATGGCTGGCCTGTGAAGATGAGGTGTGGTTGCCCAAACACTCCCCTCGCTTCAGAGGCACTGCAGAGTTAACCAGATTCTTTGTCCCGAGGCCACCAGATCTCTTTATCTGATAATTGGTTCAGAACCTTCTCTGACATTTGAAT